AAATAAATAACTGGAAGCAACCTAAACAGGAGCAGAGAGAAATACACTGTGACAGCATCTTCACTGGTGGCTTCATTCATTCTATCATTCACTTTTCATTCAATAAATCCCCATGAGTGTGTGTGTGTGTGTGTGTGTGAACATGTGTGAGAATCACCAGGGAAGACAGTTAGAAAGCAGAATTCCCGGCCCCACCCTCAGAGAGTCCTGAGTCTTAAATCAGAGAAGGCATCTGAGGAATGGGACCTTTTTATGAGAATGTGGGAGGCCCGTGCCTGTGGTCTTTGAGTCACACCATCTCTGATGGCTCATTCTGACCTTAGATGACAAGTTGGATTACAAAACTAGGTAGATCTCATGTGGTCCCTGGTTACTCATCACTCACTAGGTGGAGAACCCTGAGTTACCTGGATTGGTGGGACACGGGAGCCAGAGAAAGTCCTGCAGCCTCAGGCATCAGATGGAAAGGAAAAAGAGCAGATGAGAGATAAATGAGTGCCAGGAGAGGAGAAAGGGGAGAGAATGGATCTGAGGAGAAAGAAGCCCAGAACACACTCTTCTGATCCGCCTGGACGCAGTTCCACTCACAAATCTTTGTTAATGAAATTTGCTTCGGAACTAACAGGGCTACCCTTCTCCATCCTATACCTCAGAAGCACTTAATGACTCAATTCAAAAGTTTAAAATTAAAAAAAAAAAGTCCCAAAGGTTAAGGTTGTAAAGATCTGGGTCACTGCCTTCACAATGACCAAGATTCATGAGAAAAGAAATGGCATTGAACCAAGTTTTTTTATCGGAAACTTTAGTCAATATTATGTTTCCTTGTCCAGGGAAGTAAGTATTTATAGGGAATTTAGCCAACCTTTACCTAACCCTTACTCAGTTAAACACCAGAAAAATAGTCATCACCTTTCCCAAGTTTCATAACTATTATATCTACCATGCACGTGTTATTCAAGACTTCAAAACTCCATGATCTACATGCCATTAGGACATGGTCTCTAAGCATAATGTTATGCTTCTTTGGTGAAAATGTTTTGGGAGTATGAAGAGGCCACATAGGCATTTTAGGAGCTGCAAGTGCCAGTTCAGAGAGAGTTCTGGTTAATACAGAGGCTGCTGTAGAGAGAGGTGGGCTTGAAAAGCGATGCTCACTTACTGGGCAGCACACCCCCGCAGGGACAGAATCCAAGAAGTGAGAAATCGAAGGGAAAACTACGCCAGCCTCTGATCCTTGTCTTGCACATGAGGGGACTGTGCTCCATAGAGGAGAAACACTCTCCTGGGTTCAGCCAATGGCGGTGCCAGCTGGAGACCGGATGGAGGAGTGAGAAGCTGGGTATTCTCTGCTCCTTCTCTGCCCTGGGCCCACGGAGTACCACTCTCATTTTACAGACTAGGGAACAGATCTATAGATGCTAAAGTGACATACCAGTGCCACACAGCTGGCTACTGGGCAGGAGCCAGGAGCCAGGTGTCTTGTGGCGGTGTTAATTTCCCTATGCTGTTCAGACTCTTCTCTCTGCCTTCAGTCCTTACCACCAGAAGACATTCTTCCTGGGTCACAGGAAAGATTCATTTGGGTCTCATTTGCACCTGATGAAAAGGTGCTATAACTATGCAAATGGCACACCCAAAAGAGTTTGAGGGAGTATTCATTTCTATTCTGGTCTTTAAAAGAATACTTTGCATTTGAGTCAACCAGGCTTTGTTGGTATTCTTAAATCCTAGGACAGCATTGCTCAAGTCAGAATTACCTGAGAGGACTTGGGGAAGGTGCCTTAGTCCATTTGGACTGCTATTAAACCAAGCTTACAAACAACAGAAATTTCTTTCTGTTCTAGAGACTAGCAGGCACCAGCAGAATCTGTGTCTGGAGAAAGCCAGCTTCCTCATTCACAGATGGCCATCTTCGCATGTGTCTTCCCAGGGTGAAAGGGGTAAGGGGACTTTGTATAAAGGCACTCCCCATGCACAAGATATTGGGTCTCATGACCTGATTACCAACCAAAGGCTCCTAATACCATCACATTGGGCATTAGCATTGTAACATATGAATTTGAGGAGGGAGGACACCTACCGTCAGTCCACAGTAGTGGGTATTCTGGTAAAAACACGGATTTCTGGACGCTAATATCATTTACTGAAATAGAAGATCTGGGAAATGGAAATTTGGATGGTGTGATTTTAATTAGCAACCCAGATGATTGTTATGAAAACAAATTTTGAGGTCCACTGTTCCATGAAACAGAAAAACATTGTCTGTGCCCACAAAAAGGAAAGATCCTAAGGTGACTAGGGAGCTGATTTCTGACCAGCTTCCAAACCCAGTACGGGGAACCACGTAGTAGGTGCTGGGCCTAGTCCGAGGTACTGACAGTACATGATTACTGTACTCTTTAAAGCAATGCTGTGATATAGTTAGTATAATTCCCATTTTACAGAGGCAAAGTCAAAGACTCAGATTAAATAACTATCTCTAGGTTACTCCACTCTGACCCAAATTCCAGTCAAGTTCTGCTTGACTCTGAAATCAGGCTCTTGTCTGTCCCATCACCCAATCCATAATGAAGCCCATTTCCATCTCCAGATGACCTTGGAGACAATTGTACACAAGACTAGCTCTGTGTAGGGCATCCTCATTCTGTTCTCCAGAGAGCTCAGCATTTCCTTCCTGCTTTCTCTTAAATGGAGCTTTAGTGAAGCAGCAAAGGGTCCAGGTGAATGCTGTTCTAATTCCCTCTTCCAAACCTCCAGGATGGGATCCTGGTACCTGCAGCTTCCAGGAGTCCTTTGATTGTCCTTCTCTCTCTCTCTCCCAGGGTTCTTGGAAGCTCTTCCTCCCCTGCACTTGGCTCAGAAACTTGGCTTTGGAAAGTCTGAGCCTACATCAATTCATCTAGAGAGGTCCCGAGGGCAGCAGCCCATCTGTTGGGCTTATCAGAAATGTTAAAAAAAATTAATAGCATGAACGAACATGTGTGTGATCACAGCGCTTGACATCTGAATGATCTTGCATCACCTGAGCGGCTTTTTATTTTTTTCCCTCTGATACTTTGCTCGATATATCTGGTCATCATTTTTCTGCTGACACTGCTGTTTCAAACCACAACCAGAGAGGCTGACTAAGGCAGGAGCAGGCTCGGGGATTCTCATATCAAACTGATCCTTTGAGGGATCAAAAGAGGACGGCAACCCGTAAGAGAGTGCTGGATGCTACCCCATGGGTTCAGTGTTCTCTCCTTACCCTTCCCAATAGTTTTTGGCCCCCTGCCTGCCTGTTTTAGTTTTATATGCATGTCTTAGTAGGCATTTGTCAGGTATGTGATGCTGACCTGGCAGCTTAACATAGCACAGACTTATGTTTAAATCGAAATCAGTCATTCAGTAGCTGTGTCTCCTTGAGAATGTTAACATAATCTCTCTGAGCCAAAGCTCATTCATCAATAAAATAAAGATGATAATAGCTTTTTAAATTGTAAAGGGATGGAGAGAAATTAATTTTATATAAATCAATGATCTCAGGACAGTTTAGTTATCTCAGGACCTAGCTTAACACTTCTTCTTTCATACATCATATACTATCAATCTCCTGTCTATCCATCCGCTCAGTATCCATCTATCCTTCCATCCAGCCACCCATCCATCCAATATTCATCTACATTCATCCAAAATCCATCCACTCATTAAATGTCCACCATTTGCAAACCATCCACACTTCAAGGTACCAGAGATCATAATAATAAAAGAGAATAAAATCATGGCATTTGCAGGTAAATGGATGGCATTGTAGAAGATAATGCTAAGTGAAGTTAGAAAATCCCCAAAAAAACAAATGCCGAATGTCTTCTCTGATATAAGGAGTCTGAGAGCATGGGAGGAATAAATGAACTCTAGATAGGACAGAGGGTTGGGAGGGGAAGGGAAGGGGCAGGGGGTTAGCAATGATGGTGGAATGTGATGGACATCATTATCCAAAGTACATGTATGAAGACATGAATTGGTGTGAACATACTTTATATACAAACAGAATAATGCATTCTGCTGTCATGCATTTAAAAAATAAAATCAATTAAATAAAACAACAACAACAAAACAAACAAAAAACCCCCGCAAACCAAAAAAATAAGTCCCTGCCCTCCAAGAACTTATGAACTAGTGATAGATGCATATAATAAGCAAACAAAGGCATTTATAGTATATTGTTATGTAGTGATGAACAGGAACAATAAGGCAGAGTGAGGTGAAAGAATGGCAGAGGGGACAGGGAATAGCACTGTCATGGGAAAGGTGGCTAGAGAAGATCTCTATGTAGAAGTCACACCGAAGACAAGATGTGGACGAGATGAGAGATTAAAACAGATGGATAACTGGGGGAGGAATGTTCCAGGCAGAAGGAAAAGCAAGTGCAGTGACCTTGAGGTCATTATCCTTCTTTATTTGGGAACAGGAAGGAAACCTTGGTGCCTTGAACACAGGGAGCCATGCAGAGGCAGCAGTAATGGCGGCTAGGGAAGAAATCAAGAGGCAAAAGACATAAGTGAAAGGTGGGAAGGAAGATAGATATTCACTTATTCATAATGTTTCCATATCATAGTCAGAACTCTGAAGGGTACTATGACAGACAGAAAGAGGGCCGAGCCAGAGAATTTATCATTGATAAACCCTAAACCATTAGACTTGTCGAGGAGGAAAGTATCTAAATAATGAGATAAGAAAATAACTGATGTCATAAAAGAAACGTGGGTAAGTTTTATAGGAGCCTGAAAGGGAGAATCTTTGCCTCTCGTAGCCACTCCTGCTCCCAGCAACTTGGGAAGATGAATGAAAGGGATAATGTTCACACAGAGACGGGACACTACTGTGCTCAGGGATGCACTTGACTTACAGGATTTCGGCAATGAGCTGAAACAAAATCATCAGACACTTGAGAAAGGAAACAAACAGAAATTCTAGCATCCTTTCATTTTAAACCCCAACAACAAAAATGAAAAACTCACCAGATGGTTTGGACAGTGAAGCCAACATAGGTGGAGGAGAATTCGCCAACTTTGCTCCGTCAGAAGAGACTTCCCTGGGGAAAAACAGAGAGAGGCAACAGGACAGAAAATATAAAGATGAAATGTGCATTGAGCAAACTCACTTGTTTTAGGAGTCCTAAGAGAAGGAAAAAGAACAACAAAAGAATATTCCAGAGTTAGGGAAGGAAACAAGCAAAAAAAAAGCAAAAACTATTAAGAAAGAGAAAAAATAGAATGGACAGGATTTAATTGGTCAAAATTGGGTTCCGTGAAATGACTGATAAAGTTGATAAACTTCTGCTAAGACAGATCAAGACAAAAAGTGATGAAAGTGCAGATAATGCTAGTAATGAAAGAAGAATATCATTAGTGTCACCGATGTGAGCAAGGTAGGAGAGAATGTTCAAAGAAACTGTCAACAAATTTCAAAATTAGATGAAATAGGCAAACTCCTACTAACCAAAATTAACAAAAGAAGAAATAGAAAATCTGAATAATCCTATAACTATTAAAATGATGGATTTTTAGTTAAAAATAAACTTGTTAAAATGTGGAGGTTTGTTGGCTTCAAGCAAATTTTCTTTAATGGTTCAAGATTTAATGTTAACCTTACACAAACTCTTTCAGAAAACACAATAAGAGAGCACACTACCCATTTTATTTTGTGAAGCTAGAGTAATACCAAAGCCTAGTAAGAACAGCATAAGAAAGAAAACCACAGGCTAATTTTGCTGGTGAATATAAGTTCAAAAAGAGTAAACAAAATACTTATGAGTCAATACATTATGAGCAATATATAAAAAGACAAGCCCATCATGTCCAAATTGGGCTGTTTCCAGGCTGTTAGTTTAAATTCTGGTATAAAGGCTGCTTCATCATCAAAAAACCAGTGCCAACACGCACAATGGCACACGCCTGTAATCCCAGCAGCTCGGGAGGCTGAGGCAGGAGGATCTCGAGTTCACAGCCAGCCTCAACAAAAGTGAGGCACTAAGCAACTCAGTGAGACCCTGTCTCTAAATGAAATACAAAATAGGACTGGGGATGTGGCTCAGTGGTCGAGTGCCCCTAAGTTTCATTCCCGATACCCCACTTCAAAAAATATCAGTGCCATTCACCATTTTACCAAAGGAACAAAATCACATGAATGCTTTGACTTAGGATTTTTTTTTTTTTTACTTTAGAATGGTGTAAATGTGATACACATTTAGTGGAAACTGTACTTAAAATTTTGCATTTTGATCTTTCCTTGGGGTAGTAATATGCAGTATGATACTCTCTCAAGATGCTGGAGAGCAGCAGTGAGCCACAGCCCCAGGCAGCCCTGGGACCACAAGCGGAAACCACCTACATGGTGTGTTACTCTGTGCCGCTAAGCTATGATGTGTGTGTATGTATGTGTGTTGTGTGTGTGTGTGTGTGTGTGTGGTGCTGAGGACAGAACCCAGGGCCTTGTGCATGTGAGGCAAGCATTCTACCAAGTGAGCTATATCCCCAATCCATTAATGCATTCTTGACTCATTATTTTCAACTTATAATGGATTTACCAGGACATAACCCCATTGGAAGTCTATGAACATCAGGTACCATCTCAACATATGCAGGAAAAAGCATTTGCTAAAATTCTACATCTATTTATTCTTAAAAACTAGGCACATAAATAATCTGGTGAAGGTTATCTGCAATAAAATCTGTGATGGCCAATATATTAAAGTGAAACCTTGAAAATGTTCCCTGTGAAAATGTTCACACCTGTTCAGCACTATCTACCTGTCCCATAAGGGTAAAGGCAAGAAAGAGAAATAAAGACACAAGGATGAAAAAAGGAAGAAATAGAATTGTTGTGGATTATGTGATTACCTACATGGGAAGCTACAGATGATTTGTAGGATTTAGCAGAGTTTCACAAGGTTGCTGTATATAAAGTCGATATAGAAAAATGTATTAAATTACAACATACCAACCATATGGTATGTTGTAATTGAATACATTTTGGATTTTTTTTCTTTTTTTATTAATAGATTTAAATTAATGGATTGGGAAACTCACTATTTTAAATGTCAATTCTCCTTAGATGGAGTTATGGCAGTCCCAACAGAAATTTTAAAGGACTTGAATGATTTCTAAAATTTAAATTCCCAAGGTTCAAGACCAGCCAAGACCTTCTTAAAGAAGAAGCATAGAGTTGAAGGACTTGTTCTTCCAGGTGTGGAGTCTCCCTATTAACCTGCTATAATTAAGACTGTCATTTTTATTCAGGGAGAGATAAATAGAGGTAGACATTACCAGTATTTTCCAATATCTGAGTAACCTCCCCTCCTGGCGCATGGCAGGCAACACATCACATCCCTTTGCAGGTGGGTGGAGCACTCTGGTCCTGGCCAATGAGCTGTAAGAGGAAGGGGATGATGGGTGATGTTTTCAGGGTGAGTCAATAAGAACCTCATGGACCATTTCCCAATCTCTCTTCTCCAGATGGAGAACATCCCATGGGGCAGATACCTCGCCTTGGGAAGGACAGTTGTCTTGATGCATCTCCTACATCCCCAGTGACCTTAGTGCGAAAAAGAAATAACTCTGATTTATTCATCCTTGAAATATTGAAGCTGTCTGTTACCCAAAAGAAAGCATAGCCTGTCCATTTCTGTCCAACATACAGATAGACCAGTGGAACACAGGATTAACCAGAAAGAGATCCACCCATTTGTGGACTTGAGTTTTCCACAAAGAATGAAACTGCAGTGTAGTAGGGAAGAGATAGTTTGGTTACTCCAGGATCTCCATTCAAAAATAGAATAGGACTTATACCTACTGCATGTCACACCAAAATCAATTCTAGGTGAATTATTAACCACCCAGGGCCAAAATGTACAAAGATTTTAGAAGAAAATACAGGGAATTCTTTATGACTCAGAAAAAATTCTAGATAAGAACAAAAATCATTACAAAGAAAAAGACAGTTGAATTTTATATTGTCAAGTTTTATAAGGAAAAATATTTTGTTTAGAAAGGAAACAGCACAGGGCATACGTACATTTTAATAGTAGTTATCTTTAGATGATTCGATTCCAGAATGAATTTATTTTCTTAATTTATCACTTTTTTTCCCAAATGTTCTGTGATGAATATAAATCTCTTTTATAATAAGAGAGAGAGAGAGAGAGAGAGAGAGAGAGAAGCACTGTCTCTTTCTCCCCAACCCCATGCCTCAGGACACAGCAAGAAGGTAGCCATCTGTAAACCAAGAGCAGATCATGCTGGTGCCTTGATCTTGGACTCCCACAGCCTCCAGAACTATTTAATGAGCACCAAAGGGACAAGAGTGGCTGCTAGGGAGAGAGAACTTAAAATGCCATCCCTGTTGGTGAAGAACTCACAGCCCAAGGGGAAGCCAGATGGGTGAACAACCCATGGTCATGCCTACTCCAGTTAACCCTCCTAGATACCTAGTCATCATATCATCAGAGTCAGGTGGAAACATTCCAGAGTACAAGTTTTCACGGGGTTAAAGCAACAATTCACCTACGGGGATGGGTCTGAATCACTTCCATGGCATTTTCTTGGAAACTCCATCACCTGGGAGCTGAAGGATCCAGCAGCTGCTGGTTTTGTCCCTGACCTCATGGGGCCAGAACCTACAGGAGCAGTGATCTGCTTCTCCTCCATCAACACTTTACCATAAGAGACACAGTAAAATCAGACACGTATTTTAAACACTGGCTTGTATTTTATATATCATCATATCACGAGATTTAAATAAATTTTCTGTCTTGGTGTTTTAAAAAAATATTAGCTAAGAACAACATAATATAATGAAAGATGAAATACACTCAAATATTAGTTACAAATGCACTTATTTGTCCATATTTTAGATTTATTTTCCCTATTAATTGCAGAGGAAATGTGAATATGGTAGAAAATAAGGATAAAACAAAAAAAAAAGTAAAAAGGAAGAGGAAAACCGAATGCTACCCACCAATGTTACTATTTTTCTTAATTTGTTTTTTAATTGATTCATAAACACATAAAATTTTACATATAATGAGCATCAGCCAATGTTACTCTTTTGAGATATTTCCTTTTAGAAATTTTTGTATAGTTGTCATTAAAGTCATTGAATCCAGGGAAAAAGAAAAAAGAAAAAAAGAAAGGGTTGTTAGTTTTTGTTCATATTTATAATCAAGAAGAGGTGACTCAAAAAGCTGAAGGTATAGAATAAGAGCTTTCCAGACCCTGCTCTTACCTGGTGGTTAATCCAGAGGAGGGGGGGAATCCTAATGTGGAATTTCAGACCATGAGACAGTTGGTCATAGGGTCCTTCCTTGTGGCTTTTTTCTATTCAGGTGCCAGAACGTCATCAAGGCAGCTGTCTGTCACTTTTTCAAAGACTTTCTGTTTTGGATTTAGAGTTCCTCCTTCTGGAAGAAGGTGGCCTTGGGGTTTTTCTCCTCCTTCCTCCCTCTTCCATTTCTGGCCTCCTCTCTTTGATAGGACCTTTTGACTAGAGTGGCTTTCATGGTGTTGATCAGACCCGGCGATATGTGGCCACAGGCCTTGCCCCAGAGGACTGTCTACCTGACCTCTAGTGATGGACACTGGAACCCTGCTTCTCTGGCCACACCATCCCAAGCTCTTTGTAAAATCTTTATTAGACACACATTTGGCTCTGAGTAGCCTGGATACAAAGGCCTATTAAGCTCTAAAGTGCATGTAAGGAAACTTTGTTTTTGCTTTTGGTTTTTATAGTTATATTGACTTTTATTTATTCACTAACATTTATTGGGCACAGGTAATAAATTCATCCTAGCCCATAGCTCCTCAAATCCTGAGGATTTACTGCCTATATTCTGGAGTCTGGGAAAACATGGAGTAGGGCAGGAAGGATGGGAGAGAAATAAGAGTCAACAGGCAGAAATGCCAGGCTCTGGAGGTTAGGTACAGAGATTCGAAATGCTTCACGACAGGCAGAAAGAAGAATCTTTCTTCTTTCTGCATAAGGGTGGGCGTTAGTAGCCACCATCCTCATCAGCACCATTACTTCATGACAACTTCATGCCACACATTACATCCAGCCGGGCATGCCATTTAATACAACCACCTTGGGACACATATATCATATTTTCCCATTTTGGAAGATGAGGAAATTGAGGCTCAGAAAAGACAAGGTAATTTGCCTGAGGTCACAGGGTTAGCAGGGGGTGGTGTTGAGCCGGAATCCAATCTGTCAGACTGGAAATCCTGACTCTATTCCTATGACAGTGACTATTGCTCTGGGCACTGATGGTTGTCTACATCTTCATGTCTCCATGTCAGTTTCACACCCTTTTGAGGTAAAACAGGAACCTTGATTTCTAAAGACCATTTTATCTGGCATTCTTTTCTTTTTTCTTTCCTGCATTTGTGACATGGCTCCTCACCTCAGATGAAGACAGAGCAGTCCCCACTGAAGCAGCAGGGGTGAGGCCCAGAGAAGATCGTGCCCCCAAGACACTTCCTTCGGAGACTGGCATGGAGGAAACCCTCAGAACACCAGCTTCCGCCTCTGTTATTGCTCTCACGGTCTCCAGGGCTACCTGCTCCTCCTGACTTCTGCAGGTGAGGGTCTTGTCCAAGCAGGCATGGATTCCAATTTTTTTCTTGGATCCCAGCAGTCATTTGCAGGAGCACTGCTGGTAGTCCCACAGGTTCACATTCTGAGTGTCCTGTCGGTGTGACAGTGACGTCACCAAGTTTCCAGGCTCTGAGCCTTCTCACCAACATGGAGCCTTCATGTCACAACAGGAAAATGATGAGCACCAGGTGACTGGTGCTCCAGAAAGAAACTCTGATCAGTTTCTACATCGGATTCTATAAATGGGAGAAAGTGTCATAGAAAAACAGCACAGTGTGGATGCTGAAAGATCAATCTGGAGTTAAGCAAATCAGGGTGTGAATATTGACTCTATTCCTTCTAGTTGTGTGACCTTAGGCAAGTTTTTAACCTCTCTGAGCCTCCATTGCATCTGTAAAGCAGAGAGAATAATAGCTATCTAACAGCTTCTTCAGGAAGATTACATGGTACAATGATGTTAGGTAATTAACACAGAACTTGTTGCACAGGAGACACTAAATAAATGTTTGTTGTTGTTATATTATTATTAAATGCAAAAAAATCCTGCTACAAGATTTGTTTTGCAAGTTAATAAACAATTACTTGACATGACTTTTCTCCCCTACTAAGCCAATCCACTGTGGAGCCTCATCCAGGATAGCATGCCCTGCTGGGCAGAGATGCGAGGGCTTGGCAAAACCAAGGCCAGAGGCTTAATAAGTTGCATTAGCGGAGCATATCACATGAGACCCTGGAAAAGTCATTTGAAATGTTGAGTTACAAAGTAAATTGCCAAGGAGATAGAATCGCAAGTGTTGACTCTCTCTGGGCTTCAGTTTCCCCATCTGCAGGAGGGGAGGGCTGGACTTCATGTTGCTCTTGCATCTCTGACCTTCACAGTGCAGAAGTCTGATCTTGCTAGGACTGTCTGAACAGCCTTGCACATGCATCAGCAATTCCTAGTTTTGCATGGCCAGGAAACACTTGGTGTCTGATGCCCCTCTCTGGGTAGTTTTGCAGGGCTCCCACAGCCTACCAGCTAAGGCATATCTCCACAACCGGAACCTCCCTAGGACCCAATTCCTACACCTCCCAGCTCCTGTGGTATGCCGCCACAGAGGACATCTGGAGTTCCCAGTCCCCATGGAAAGCAAAGAAATCTTCTCCAGAGTCCTGTCTCCAGCATAAACTGTCCGACGTGTTTAAAAGGAATGTTCTTTCTTCCTTCTTCAGCTTTGAAGAATCATTCTTTTGCACGTTCAGGGGATAAAATGTTGGCAATGAAGCCTGGCTTTTTTCCAAGAGTGAAAACTTGTATTGGGGTAAAGGAAACATCGCCATCGGGTGGCAGGACACAGAAATAACTAGACTCAGAGTGATGGGCTTCTAGTCTAAATCAAGTGGAGTCACAGAATTCCCAGCAGAAAGAGCAAGAAAGGTCCTGAATGTTCGAATGGAATCCCCTGACTTCACTGAATAATGTCAATGTTGTAGAGAGAGGCTTTGTGAAAGTCAATACTAAAACCCGATCCACTGACCCTTGATGTAATTCAGCTCTCTCCCCTGACCCACCATATGTACACCCCGTTCTTTAGCCTAAAATGTTCTAATAATCAAGGCTGATGGGATCAGGGTTGCTTTCATCCAGCATGTTCCCACCTGCTTTTTATCAACTTCGTGGGAGGCAGAAGAGAAAGATCAGAGGCATTTCCACAGGGCAACTGGCTAAAGGGTTCACAAAGATAAGGAGGAGGCAGATCAGAAATCAGAGGAAGAGAGTGTGGATTGAC